GTGTATCCATTAATTGTATATGCGTTATAAGAAAACACAACTAAACTTGGACCGTATGCTAAACATCTCAATCTTTCTGTTACTGAAGCAGGATCTGAATGATACTTTGAATAAATATGTTCCTTAAACCATGGTATGAAACTTCGATTGTGCTCTCGTACAATCCAATTCTCATTTCTATTCGGATTTAAACCTCGAAGAACACCCTTGTGCATTTCAACATACGACTCAACTTCAAGCTCATTATGCAGAACATACAAATGCACTTGATCCCGTTCGACCATTGATACTGTCACAACTTTATTTCCAATTAGCTTCTTACCTTATTTTTTTTCAACAACATGAGATTTGGGGAGTCCAATTGATTGAACATTTGACAGATATTCATTACAAAATTCAACCGCTTCTTCAACAATATATCGTTCAGCAATACAACCCTCTGGTCAACTTCGGTTTTTCACATACCCTTTTAATATTTTCATATAATGTTCAGTAGGGTACATCCATCTCATATAAGTTGGTCCGCACAGTTGTGTCTCTTTGACAAGATGAACCATTATGTCAAAAAACGAGGGAGGGAAATGCATTTCAAGATCACACAAAGTAACAACTATTTCTTTTTGCAATGTTGGTAAGATCTCAGGATCGATCACCTTGCTGCAAATTGACTTGAAGAAAAAACACAGTTTAGTTATTGTGGTTCTTACTTTTTCTGGAAGAATAGAACGTATACCTATCGGTAGAAAATGTTCCATTATAACATGGCAATCATGCGTCTTTAAACTCTTTAACTTGAGGTTTTGCATAGACACAAGTCTTCTAATATCTGATGAGTAGCCTTCTGGAACTTTAACCTCACCTAGGAACTTACACAATATTTTTTTCTCCTTTCTGGATAGAGTGTAAACAGCAGGTGGTAGATATGTTCGTCTTCCTTTTTTCACGGATCCCAATTCAGTTCTTATTCCCATCTCTACCATGTCCTACCTTGCTTTAAGACCATCCTTAGACTTCCCTTTTATATTGAGTAACGTACCAATAACACTGTCAAATACATTTTTTTCAATATGCATAACATCAAGAAAATGTCTTACGTACAAAGATTTCCAATATGGCAATTCAAAAAAAATCGACCTCTTCTTCCACCCACCTGCGACAACTTTATGTGCAAAAGGCTTTCCAAACTGAATACTCACATCTTTCACCTTTTCAAATATTTGATCACCTGTCAATCCAGGTGGAGCTCTACGTTGTTCGGTATCTCCGTTGAACGCTTTTCTCCATCCACAATATTTATGTTTAGAATTTAAGAATCTACGATGTCCGAGAAAGACATTCTTCTGACAAAGTTTCAATCGCATCGTATCGGTTCCATCTTCACAGATAGGACACACTTTTTCACCTTTAATGCTATACCCAGATAGATTTTCGTAGGCTGGAAAATCGTTAATTGTTCCAAACAACATCGCCCTCAAGTTGAAACTTTCTTTCCTATACCCATCATAAACCTCCACACCGTTCTCCCACAAAATCTTCAAATCTTTGATTAATGGTTCCAAATATACGTCTATGTCATTTCCTGGTTGTTTAGGCCCAGAAATTAACATAGATAACATCATGTACTTACGCTTCATACATAGCCACAGAGGTAGGTTATAAATCATAAGAATCACAGGCCATGTGCTATGCGAGATACTTTGAATACCGCGTGGGTTCATTCCATCAGTAGACAATGCCAAGCGAAGGTTTCTTGCTTCTTTTCCAAATTCAGGATAATCATTATCAATTTTCATCCACTGTGGTGAATCTGCCGGATGTCGAAACTTTCCATCAACAATTCTTTCATTTGCATGCCAAGTTAAGTGTCTTGAATCGGTTTCACTACGATACATCCGTCTAAATCTCGGAATTATAGGAAAATACCATAAGACTTTTGCCAGAGAAAACTTTTTCTTATATCGAGGGGCACCACATTTAGGACACTCATTTAACGATGCATACTCGTTTCGAAACAAAACGCAATCTTTTGGACAGGCATGTATCTTGTCATAGCTCATGCCAATAGAGTACAACATCTTTTTGGCCTCATACGTTCGATTGGGGAGAACATTATCCTCTGGTAGAATATCTTTCATAAGGGCTAATAACTCTGTGAAACTTTTATCCGACCATCCATTGCCCGCCTTTAAGTTGTACAACTTTAATACCGCAGACAATCTTGTGAATTTTGTACAACCATTATACAACGATTTCTCTGCATCGCTTACCAACCTCTCAAACATTTTGGGACAATCATTAAGATCTTCTTCAAGCGCTTCTGCAATCTCTTCAACTCGATCATAATCGTATGTATCTATGCCATTGTCGTTCGAAGCATAGGTCCTATTATCCCCCGATTCATCATTCCCGTCACTTTTCTCACCATGCAAATTCCAACATGTATAACTTCTATCAACTCCATACCGTATTAAATGCGATGCCAACTGAACCGCGTCAACCCGATTCCCATAACAGCAACACAAACAAGGACATGTCATTCGACTGGGGTCTTCGGCGTGCGCAACAGAAAACTTAACAAATTCCGATACCCCGTTCTCGTACTCTTTCGACAATCGATTGGAATACATCCATATCTTATCCATGGTTTACAGTTTCTGAGTCAATCTGAGCTAAATGATAAATTCGGAAACAAAACCAATACTCAAAACTTGCACTTGCTCTTGCACAATCATATAACAAAACCAATACTCAAAACTTTTCACTACATTCATTTTATTCTATCAACTACTTTAGTACACAAGTATAATACATTCCTACCAAGAAAAGAGACGAGTAGAACACATAAACAAGAAACCATCATTGCTCAAAATCAATCATAAAAAGCACATGAAAAAAACAATATATTAATAGAGTTAACAATATGGCTACCTTTATTAAATATTTTGTTACGCTCTCTATTATTTCTCTCTTAGCTTGTTTTACCAATGCACAACTTGTTAATGTAAATGATGTTTGATAAAATAATTGGACAGAGGAACTTCAATTTTTTTACTTAGTTGGGACCTTGGGGAGACATCAGTTTGAAAATGTGTTGTTTTCTATTAATATCATGACCATAGAATTTAATCGGATTAGAACAGCACGTAAGGAAGCAAATTAATTGTATGTAAATATAATAAATTAGAATCAAAGCAAGCATAGAACAATTTATTCATACAAAACTATACTAGAAATTGAAATACCTGGAGCTGAGTTGTGTAACTTTGTGTTGTATATTGTTGTGATTTCTGATGCAGCAAACTTTGTGATTTCACCTTGCGGTTCTCCTGTGGCAAGCGGTAGTCTTGTTGTTTTCTTTTCTACAAATCAAGCGGTAGTCCTGTTGTTCTCTCTGCAGATGCTAAAGGAGGCAGAGGTCCTGAAGAAGTCCTGAAACTGCCCCGGTAGTCCTGAAACAAGAAGACGTAGAGGATGGACTTGATCGTGAAAAAAATTTGATTTAGGGTTTTGATCGTGAGCTCTGGTTTAGGGTTTTGATCGTGAAGAAAAATAGAAAAGTGATGATACGAATTTTTGATATTTATTATAAAACTACCTACGAAAGCGCTTTTAAAAGCGTTTTCTAAAGGTCACCTATAACAGCGCTTTTTAATGTAAAAGCGCTTTCGTAGCATATCCTATAGCAGCGCTTTCTAAAGGCCAGCTTTAGTAGCGCTTTGGAAAAGCGCTTTCTAAGGCTGACCTTTAGCAGCGCTTTTGAAAAGCGCTTTCTTAAGGTACCCTCTGAAAGGCCAACTTTAGCAGCGCTTCCCAAAAAGCGCTTTCTAAGGGTGACCTTTAGCAGCGCTTTTGAAAAGCGCTTTCTTAAGGCACCCTTTGAACGCGCTTTTTTAAGCGATTTTTTTTTAAATCCAACAGCAGCGCTTTTTTCCAAAAACGCTTTCTTTTATGTGCTGCTAAAACTTAATTTTGGCGTAGTGGGTTGTTAATAGTTGTATGTAAAAAATATTTAGTATTTTAATGTTTGTATGTAAGAATACAATTTGTTTTTAAAAAAGTGTAAAAAAAATTAAACATATGATTATTAAGTTTTTTTAGTATTTGTATTTATATATTTATTTGAAAAAATTTCTTAATTATAATTTTTATTTAGAGATATAATTATTATTTGAAATTTTTTATTAATTATAATTTTCGTATTTATATGTTTATTCTTTCGTGTTTATATGTCACCTATATATATATATATATATATATATATATATATATATATATATATATATATATATATATATATATATATATATATATATATATATATATATATATATATATATATATATATAATGCAAGCGACTTTTAATTAACTTTTTGTAAATTCTTTTTATTGATTTTCCTCTTGTAATATAAAGATTTTGTTTCTTTACCGCTCTCTTTTTAAGGAGATAATTTGATAAATAATTTTCATTTCTGTTGACGTCTGTTGACATGATTTCTCTATGTGATTTTTTAATTATTTATTTTAAAATCTATGTGGATTTTTTAAAAATATTTTATTTTATTTAAAAAATAAATATTTTTATATATATTACTAACACACAAGTAATAACTTTTTTCACACGTTACTTGTCAAATGTGTTTTAATTTTTTTTCAATAACTTTTTTACACGTTTATTAATGTCAAATGTGTTGTAACTTTTTCACACGTTATTAAATGTTAAATATGTTGTAATATATAATTATAATGGAATCAAATATTTTTTTATAAAATTAACTCATAATTCGAACAGATAAGTATTAGCATGCTAGTAAGTTACGTTAGTCTTTAGAATTTAAACTCTAGATTTATATCTTCTTTGGGTCTGTATCATTCCAGCTGGTAGGGACCATATAATCTACACCCATGCTATATATATATATATATATATATATATATATATATATATATATATATATATATATATATATCATGTCTGACAGTTGAAGATTTAGGAAAATCAATGGCTCTCAAAAAATGGTCACATGAACCAATTACAGAAGCTTTTTCTTCTCTATTTTTTCCATCTCTTCTTTTCCTTACAAGTCTGTTGATTGTGTTTAAGTTTGCAATTAGAAAAACCAAAACCAATCTAAATCAGCTTCCATCCCCACCAAAACTACCGTTCATTGGTAATCTCCATCAGCTAGGAACACTTCCACACCGTTCACTTCGAGACCTGTCACTAAAATATGGCAACATGATGTTGTTGCAATTAGGACAAAAACAAACTCCAACTCTTGTGATTTCATCAGGAGAAGTAGCCATGGAAATCATGAAAAATCATGATATAGTTTTTTCAAACCGACCACAAAATATAGCTACAAAAATCTTGTTGTATGGTTGTACGGAAGTTGGTTTTGGAAATTATGGAGAAAATTGGAGACAGAAGAGAAAAATATGTGTCTTTGAACTTTTGAGTGTCAAAAGTGTAAAATCATTTCAGTTTATTAGAGAAGAAGAAGTTGATGAAATGGTGAGTAAGCTACGTGAAGCTAGCTCGAATAATGCATGTGTGAATCTAAGTGAGATGTTTGTTTCAACAACCAACAATATTGTTTGTAAAAGTGCTCTTGGAAGGAAGTGTGAAGGAGAAGTGAAAGAGTTAGCAAGAAAGGTTATGATTTATATTACAACTTTTGTTGTTGGAGATTATTTCCCTTCTTTGGGTTGGATTGATCTTCTTAGTGGAAAAATTAGAGAATTTAAGAAAACTTTCCGAGCACTTGATATTTTGTTTGATAAAGTGATTGAAGAGCGTTTGGCTTTGAAGAAGATAGAAAATGATCAATACAAGAAGAAAGGGTTTGTTGATATTCTTCTTCAATTACAAGAGGATGGCGTACTTGGCTTTGAACTCACCAATAATGATATTAAAGGAATATTAATGGTACTTTTCTCTCTTTAACACTTTTTTTTTGTTTCATGTACACTTTCACTTCATCCCTCAAAAATACTAACTATGCACACATAACAATAGATAGAGCAATTATGTCTTCACATGATTAATCATAGTAATAACACATTCTATTTAATTAATTCAGGATTAAGTAAAAACATAACTCTCTCCTTTTTTTTTTTAATTATAATTTGTTTTAACTCTTAGCATGTATTAAGAAAAGTAATCATTAATATATGAGAGAAAAATTATCAAAGATTTTACACCATAAGATCACACTCTAAGAAAGACTTTGTTGCCTGTATAAAAGCCTGATTCATATTGACTTTTATTTTGGATTGGTCCGACGGTTAGAGTGAGCTTAGTCGGACCTCCTCCTTCAGCACGGTCTGTACGATCACGGTCTGGGCTCTCCCGCCCTCCGTTGGGCACCATCGATCGTTGTCCTCTTGGACCAGCAATGACCTACGACAATCGACGAGCACATCTTAGTCTGCCTGACCTCAAGTCGACCAGACAACCAGGAACCGACTAGACAGCTTCCCGTAACCTACCTCCTCCTCAGAACTAACGACTAGTTGCGGGCACACCTGTCCGTTTTGACCAAGTCCTGGTAGTTACCTATTTTTGCAGACCCGCATATCTAGGCCTAAAAATAAGAACAAATGATCAAGCGCCAGGGGAAATATATAAACCCTCACTCATGTGAGGGCCGAGTATCGAATATCCACTATTCATCATTAAAACTCTAATACTTTACTTGTATCTCCTTTTGCTCTTACACTTACTTGATCGTCGGAGTGCCTTGCAAGTACAACCCCCATTTTCCTCCTCGACTTTCCATCCCGTCCGAAGATCACCATCCGACCACCTTGTAGGTTCTGGTCAACCGGTATGATCAGTGGCGCTGTCTGTGGGAACTATCTTCCCCATTTTCTATTCCCAGAATCCGAAGACCAAAGATCCTCTCCATTCATCAATCATGGCCGACCACGATGATCACCATCTATCTGGAAAGACTGTGCTCTCCCCGACACCCAAGACCGACACAAGCCAAGAATATCCTCACCTCGAGGATAACTTCGACGCCCGTGACGGACATACTGCATCCCCGGATTCTATCGACATTGATTGCGACAAAAATCTATTCTTAGAAAAACAGTTTTTCAAGAACCCTGTCGAAGACCAGCCGGAGATTCTATAATCGATCCCCGTTCCGTAGAATGCCGACCCAGCCATAGCAGAACTGATCGCTGCCCTTAACTGAACCAACTCCCTTATCCTTCAGCAGAGCAAAAGGATGGGGGCTCTGGAGCGGAAGCAGTCAAGGTCTCCCTCTCGGAGACACCGACGACGTGACTCCTCCAACATATCACCCCCCGAAAGGGGCATCCTCCAAGAAAGGAAAGACTCGATGTTTATTTTTGCAAGAAGCGTGATCAAGCATCTCCCAAGAAGGATAAAGACCACCTGCTTCCCAAGAAGACGAAGAACACATGCGAAGAATATCGCAATAGGTCACTATCACCAAGACCGAGGCGACAAGGGCGGAACCTCTCCCCTTAACGAGATCACGACGCCCGGCGAGGAAGTAACCATAACTCCCCGTCATCATCGCTAGAAGAGACCGATGACGACGAGCCCCGTGGCCCGTTATCGAGAGAAATTATAGAGGCATGACTCCCGATCGGGCTCGAGAAGCCGCCCCTATTAGGATCCTACGACGGTACGACCGATCCTGATGACCTCATAGAAGACATCGACGCCCTACTTGATTACCGAAGTGTGAAGCGCGCAATCAAATGTAGGTTCTTCCCGACCACTCTGAGAAACAGTACCATGGCCTAGTACAAAAGCATGCTTCCTGAATCTATCACTTCCTGGAAAAAACTGTGAAAGATATTTTCGAGGCACTTCAGTGCCTCCCGTCGGCATCCAAAATCAGAGGCTTCACATGAAGCGATTATTCCGGGCATAAACGAATCTCTACATGTGTATATCGAGTGCTTTAATGAAGAAGCCATACAGGTATCAACAATCGATGCAATGAAGAAGTACCTTCTTGAAAAAGGGCTTCATCCCTGCAGCGACTTTGCAAAGGCTGTAGGCATCAAAACTTCAGCCAAAATCGACTCCCTCCTCCTCAAGGCTCAAGCGTACATTCAATTCGAGGATAAAGAAGCGCCCAACAACGCCAGGGATTCAAGGCACTAAGAGAGTGCCAAATCCTCGAGAAGAGATGATCCCTCAACACCCCGTCGAGCGGGAGAGAGAAATAGGGAAGGCAGATCCTGAGACTCCAAAGATTACAAGGGGCCTGCTGGTTGGTTCCACGACTACACCCCTCCGACCACTTCAAGAGAACAGATTCTGTCGGAATATGCCAACTCTAAATTTAAGCAGGCTGGGGTACACTTTCCTCACCAGACACCCTCCAAGCCCAGAACCGACAAAAGAAAGTATTGTAGGTTCCACAAAAGCCATGGTCACAACACCGATGATTGTATCCATCTCAAGGATGCAATCGAGATACTAATCCAAGACAGGCACCTCAAGCAGTACAATAAGAAAAAGGTTCCTGCGAGGAGGCCCCAAAAACCAAGAGCGTCTAAGAGGGGAAGGAGTCCCCCGACATCAGCACAATATCAGTCACCATGAGCATCTCACAACCAAAACATTTCTACTTCCCAAACAAGGAGAACGTCCCATTGTACTTCTCCTCTCACAGTTCCTGGGAGTCATTCCCCGTTGCATTAGTCATCTCCGGCAGGGGATTTAACAAGAATATAATGGGATCCGTAAAAAGAAAGTTCGAGCAACTTATCAAAGCCAACTCTGACATGGATGCCACACTGGATAAGTTCCTAGGAGGCTCTCATCCCCTCGCTTTCTACAGGGAGGAACTGTTGGGCGGAACCCCCAACTCGACTATCCCACTGCTCGTGCAGGCTTGCATGGTAAAATTTGATGTTTGGTGCATACTGGTCGATCAAGGGAGCTTAGTGGATATCATGTACACCCAGCTGTTCGCTACCCTACAATTGAATGAAAGCCACCTGACCCCATACATGGGCTCAGACCTCTAGGGCTTCAATGGGGCCAATACCAAACCCTAGGGGTATATCGAGCTGATCATAATCTTCGGAAGAGGGGCGACCTCCAGAGCTATTGAGACCCAGTTTCTAGTAGTAGATTTCCTGTCTCTCTGTCAATGTATCTTTGGGAGGCCCACTCTGGCCGAACTGATTGCGGTGCCCTCTATCGTACACATCAAAATGAAATACTACAATGTAGAAGGTTTGGTCACCACCCTCCACGGGTACGTCCAGGAGGCAAGAAGATGTTTTGAAGCCTCAGCCAAGGGCCTGAGTTCCATCAATGCTCAACCCCAAACGACCATTGGGGCCGCCCTGCCCTCCAGCTTCGAGGAGGCCAAGCCACTGCAAAGTATCGATACCATCGACCTTGACAGCCGCTTCTCCAAGGAGGATCGCACAAAGCAGAGGAATAAAGGGAAAGGGCCCACGGTCGAAAGCAAAGGTTCATCCCTAGTTGTATATAACGAGGAACTCTCAGATCCCATATGACCCATTCCAGACGGATACTTCGAGATCATCCTCCTCGAGAACGATCCCACCAGAGGAGTAAAGATCGGAGCTGACCTCCATGACTTGGAGAAGAGGAAACTTAAAGCTTACTTGAGGGAGAATGTTGATCTATTTTCCTGGAGAGCAGTTGAGATGCTCGGATTTGACCCAAAGATTGCATGCGGTCACCTGACCATGGACCCTGCCCTCAAGATGATCACCCAATGCAGAAGAAGGTAGTCCCCCGAAAAAACGGAGGCTGCTGAACTAGCTGTAAAAGACCTCCTAGAGGCACACTTTATTTCCGAAGCCCAGTACACAACCTGACTCTCGAATGTAGTTCTTGTAATGAAATCTAATGGAAAATGGCGCATGTACATTGATCATACCAACCTCAACCAGGCTTGCCTAAAAGATGCTTATCCCCTCCCCAATATTAACAAAGTGGTCGACAACTCGGCCGGTTTCAAGTTATTATCTTTTATGGATGCATTTTATGGATTCAACCATATTCTAATGGTGAAATAAGATAAAAAAATATACCGCTTTCATGACCGAGTCGGGTAACTGTTACTACAATGTAATGCCCTTCGGCCTGAAAAATGCGGGCGCTACATATCAGCGCATGATGAATAAAGTTTTCTGCAACGAAATAGGCGACATGCTCGAAGTTTACATGGACAACATGATCGTCAAATCGACGGAAGAAATCGACCACGTCCTCAACTTGAAGAAAGTTTCCGGGAAGGCCAGAAAGTGCTGGATGCGATTTAACCCAGAAAAATGCACCTTAAGCCTACGGGCATGCAAATTCCTCGGATTATACTTCACAGAATAAGGGATTGAGGTAAACCCCAACAAATGTCGAGCATTTTCTGAGTTTCCAACACCCACTTCGAAAAAGTCCATTCAAATCATGAACGACATGCTCACTTATCTCTCTCTCTCTCTCTCTCTCTCTCTCTCTCTCTCTCTCTCTCTCTCTCTCTCTCTCTCTCTCTCTCTCTCTCTCTCTCTCTCTCTCTCTCTCTCTCTCGATTCATGAAAAAATCTTCCCAGCACGCACTCCTCCTCTTCAAAATCCTCCGTAAAGAAGCTGCCTTTGAATGGACGGTCGAATGCGAGCAAGCTCTAACCCACTTGAAGCAAAAATTATCGCAACCACCCGTCCTTTCTTAACCAGAGAAGGATGAAATCCTCTATCTATATCTGGCTGTCACCCCCGAGGCAATACGTGAAGCACTAATCAGAGAAACCCCAGAAGGGCAGAGGCCTATCTATTTTACGAGCAAGGCGCTGCAGGGCCCCAAAGTAAGATATCAACAAATTGAAAAGGTGGCCCTAGCCCTCATCAATGCAGCGAGGAGACTCATAAACTATTTCTTGGCGCATACCATAGTCGTCCGAACATATCAATAAAAAGCATCTGCGCGAAAGGCCAGACATGGCAAGTAGAATGTTGAAATGGTCGTTAGAACTCTTCGAGTTCGACATCCAGTACGAATGTAGGAAAGTCCTCAAAGCTCAAGCACTGGCCGACTTTGTGGCTGAAATGACCTCACCCACACCCCTGATGGACTATTTTCATCGACGACGCCTCCAGACCGACAGGAAGCGGCACAAGCATTATATTGGAAAATGAGGAAGGAACCCTAATCTAGGTCTCCCTTGCATTATCCTTCCCGACCTCAAACAACCATGCCAAATACGAGGTATTCCTAGAAGGTTTATGCCTGGCCGAAGACCTGGGAGCCGAAGAGGTGAAAATCTTCACTGAATCTTAACTCGTTGCATCCTAGGTCCGAGTAGAATATCAAGTGATAAATGATCACCTCGTTGAGTATTGGGATCTGGTGTAAGAAAGAAAAAAGCGGTTCAAATACCTGGACATACATCATGTTCCCCGCGAACATAATTCCCAGATAGACATCCTGTCCAAACTAGCAAGCACAAAGAGGAAAGGGGGGAACAAGTCTGTGATACAGGAAATTATTCCCAGACCAAGCACCCAGAGCACCCCTCGACTTTGGGAGTATTTGCCATAGGGGACAATGACTGCTGGATGACCCCCGTGCACGAATACCTCGCAAAAGGGGAGCTACTCACCGACTCGAAAGAAGCGACCATGATTAGACGAAGAGCCTGCTCCTACGTCCTGGTCGAAGGAATATTGTACAGGAGAGGGTTTTTTCGTTCCGCTCCTCAAATGCGTTGACCGGAACAAAGAAGATTGCATCTTGCTCGAGATCCGTGAAGGAATAAATGACCAACATCTGGGTGGAAGATCCCTCACCAGGAAATCTCTACGAGTAGGGTATTACTGGCCCACCATATAGCACAACAAAAAAGAGCACGTGAAGAAATGTGACAAATGCCAGCGACACGGGGACATGCACTTGGCTCCCCCAAACGAGCTCAGGTCCCTCTATTCTCCATGGCCCTTCGCATGGTGGAGGTTAGACCTCCTAGGTCCATTTGTAATAGGTAACAAATCAAAAAAAATATTTGATAGTAGCCATCGACTACTTCACCAAATGGATAGAGGCAGAAATATTGGCCAGAATTACCATCCAAAACGTCCTTCGCTTCTACAAAAGAAACATCCTTGCTCGATTTGGCATCCTACAAGAAATACTCACCGACAACGGGGACCAGTTCACAAATCATACCTTTCAGGAATTCGTCTCCAAGTTGGGAACCACCCAACACTTCGCCTTTGGCGAACACCCCCAGATGAACAGCTAAGACGAGTCCGCAAATAGGGTGATACTCATGGGTCTCAAACGAAGGTTAGACGGAACCAAAAAAACATGGGTCAAGGAGGTATACAACGTACTCTGGGGTACCTAACAAAAAATCACTCGTCAATAGGTGAGACTCATTTATGACTAACTTACGGAACATAGACCATCATTCCCGTAGAGATCAAAGAACCCTCCAAGCGAACCAAAGCTCCCCCAGACGAGGAGATGAACAACGTCGCCCTATGGGAAGAACTAGACCTGGCCAGGGAGATCCGAACAGAAGCAGCCCTACGAGAAGCCTCTCTCAAACAAAAAATAGCCATGTGCTATAACGCTGAAGTCGTACGACGAGAGTTCGAGGTCAGCAACCTTGTCTTAAAGAGAAATCGCAAAGAATCTCGCGAAGGCAAGCTCGCAGCGAACCGGGAAGGCCCCTATCGCATTTACGCAAAAACTGGGACCGGGGCGTACTACTTAGAAAATCTACAAGTGGAACAACTTGCTCGACCATGGAACACTGAAAAGCTAAAACAATATTACAATTAAAACACTGAGCAATCGGTGAGCTTCGTCAACAAGACAAACTCATCCAGGCTTGACCACGCGTGCATACCTAGGTACAAGCATAACATCCAAAATATTTTGAAGGGGCAAGAATCCACTCTTTTAACGAGCGTGTCCTCAACCCGACATGGATAACTTGACCGAGCTCCATCGTCCTTGTATCACGACAGTAGAACACCCGACTTGCAATAAGACATTCATGCTGCTGAGCTCAGGTCCTCGAAACGAGACCTGAATTCAGGCCCATGCTCGATATTTACCCTAGCCGTTTGTCCGGTTTCCCTACACTGTCGAACATACAAATCAAACAAGCAAATCGCCGCTATAAACTCTTAGAAAAATAAAATATGTCTCAAGAAGACGAGCATAACAATAAAGATGCAAACATAAGTCAAATATTTGGAACAAATGACCACCAATTCCGAAAAATTAAAAGATACGAACACCAGGGCTGCTATTGTACATATTACAATAAGAGAGGCCTTTAATCCCCATCCAAAAGAATAATTTTGTCACCATAAGGACCACACGTGTTCAGAACTTACATAAACAAGCAACAACTCAGAAAAATAAGATTATAAAATTATGGTACGCAGGCTGGAGCAGAATGAAAAAACTATCAAACATCACTCTTCAGTCTCTTCCTCGACAATGAGAGATAGCTGAGAGGATCCCCCTGCAGACTGGATAGCTAGATCCTTGAGATAGTCGGGTACTAAGATCTTTCCGGCGGCCATATAGTAATAGACCCGCATCCCAGAGGTATTAAACTCGACCCCAGGGTTCAAAACACGAAGCTACTTCAGCGTCTTCTCGAAGTTCCCCTCGGAGGCAGCCTGGGCGTCATTCATCGCCATTTGAAAACAAGAAACTAGCTCAGCTGGGGTCTTTAAGTCCTTGTATCCTTTGGCTCTTCTTCAGCGGGCGCAGCCTCGGCAGCCAGAGCCACAAAGCTCTCCTCCAGAGCTTTCTTCTCGAGTAGCCACACCGTGTGCTCCTTGGATAGCTTCCTTAGATCTTCCTCGGCCAGCTTCCGAGCTTGATCCTCGTTGCTCCACCCCTTCTCGATCGCGACCAGTTTGGACCGTATCTTCTTCCGCTCGACTTATTGAGAAGAGATCCCATCGGTGTAGGAGATCACTATCTATAGTATCCTCATCAGGCCACCAGCATCCATCACCAATATTTCTCTTTTCTTTGGGGGATCCAGCCCTTCGAGGTGAAGAGACTCATCCCAGGGGAGTTGTAGAGCGGCACCCTCAAAGAAAGCCCTTTCCAGCCAGCAGGGGGAAGATCATACTTCCCTTTCCCATTTTCCCATATCAAATCAATGCTCCTCTCGACGCATGGTCTCTTTGCCTTCAAGGATACATAAGCGGGAGAGAGGGCGACAATAGCTTGACCCGAAGACGATTTGCCCGATCCTGACGTAGGAGAAGTCCCCGAACCGGCCTAGGAATCTTTCAACGCCTTCTTCGCCCTCGCGACAAGGTTCCTGGCTATACATTCTTGAGAAGGATTCATGCTATCTACAGAACAAACAACAAATCAGAGTTAGCAAACGAGGACTTACAAATATCGACCATATATAATTATTCAAAACATAAAGCTAAATAACCAAGTATTTAACAAGGTCCTCGCTCTCGAGGAACTCCTTAACGGCTATCAGACTGGGCTCGTACACGATCTCCCCATTCTTATCCATGATCGGATTTCCTCCACGGTCCGTGCGTTGGATGCGAGGAATCTGCACGACAAAAGCAGTCAAAAACGACGAGGCTCGTTTGGTCCTCGTCACCAAGCTCCCCCTCCTTCCAAACGTAGTAACACAACTTGTTGTAAAAATGCTTCCTCGTCCACTGAAAGGGGAACTTGTAGACCAACTTACTCATATGTTCCCCCAGCTCGTTCAAGACATGGGCCCTATTCTCGTCATATTCTGGAGTAGCCTGAAAAAGGTTCACTATTTCCCTACTTGAAAGAGGCTGCACGAGGATATACTTGTCCTTGAAGTGTCAAACAGATTCCAGGTAAGCTTTAAACAGATTCCCATTGCCTTGATTCAAGGCGACCCATCCCCACTTACCGTCAACCTTGCTCCTCTGGAGATGGAAATAGTATAAGAACAAAGGAATGATGGCCCCTATCTTCAAATAATCACATACAATCTCGAACGTTTGCATGAAAGAGACCCCACTCGGATGCAACTGAGAAGGATCCAATCGAAGATTCCTGAAAATGGCCACCTAGAAATCCGAGAAGGGAAGTCGAATGCCCATCTCTCGGAACATAATGTCATAAATGGGGATCTACCACTTATCATATTTTGAGAAGATACGATTATCTTTCCCGGTGATCCAAAACAAACACTCCCCCCGACCTCGTTATCATACGCATAAACTTCAGTAAAAACCTCATTTTGGTGCTAGAAGAAGTAGGAGACCCAATCCCAAGGATCCTCCGCGACCCATGTCTGCGGGTCATCGTCATCCTCGGGCACAAACAAGCCACCCTGATCAGTAGGGTCCATCTCCACATCCTCTCCCACTACTTGTTAATCAGAACGGTTCGACTCGTCCCTGGATATCTTCGAGATGCTCGACGTGTTACACGTCTCGTCCGTGGAACTCTGGGAAGATCTGGTTCGTCCATTCGAAAGATCGTCTCCAACATTGTCGGCCGTAGTACCTGAAAAGCAGAGGATAGAGGTGAGTTTAAAATCAATGCCAAAACCACTATTCCACCACTAATCAAGTGAAAGGGTGCTGATAAACGAGGACCATGTCCCCAACCAGAACCCTCACTAAGGCATATGAACAAACAAACACATTACCCAACAAGACAAACTCCATTAAACAAAAACGACCTAGATCCTCAAGGATCATCTACGACACATCGCGAAAATACGGGGAAGATCCACGAAGTCTCCGACGATTCTAAACTACAGGACCACCATCTGCCACCAACATTCCTCGAGAATGCCCTAACAAACAGGATCCTGAGCCTAACCGCATGCATTTCTAAGAGGAAAATCATGGAAATCTAAGCTACGATAACTAAATAACAGAGAAAAGTTGGGATCTTACCAATTAAATAAGGAAGGAAGTTGAAAGGAACAATGGAAAAATAATTAATCTTCAAGAAACTACGGCAATTGACAGACAAGCAATAACGAGCAATACAAGAGAAGAACGAAAAATGCAGAATGCCCTACTCCACGCGTAGGATCGTCATCATTGCATCCTATCCCCTAGGCCATCATAATGTCGTTGCGTTAACACACTACCCAAAACAAACTATCTCTTTAACTTTCGAAGCTTAGACGAACAACCAATCATCTCCTTGTGAATAGGAGCAACAGGAAACACTCACGCTCCCCATAAGAAGTGCCCCTTTTCACGAGTAGGCGCTAAAGTCATCACTCTTGTTCTTAGAAGAAACGACTTTGGGGGCTACTATTCTGGACTGGCCCAACAACTAGAGTGGGCCCAATTTGACCTTCTCCTTTGGCACGTCCCGTATGACCACGGTCTGGGATCCCCTACCCTCTGTCGACCACCATCGATCGTTTGCCCTTTTAGACCAGCACTAACCTACGACAATCAATGAACGCCTCTCAGTCTGCTCAACCTCAAGTCGGCCAGACAACCAGGAATCAACCAGATATCTTCCTGTAACCTACCTCCTCCTCGGAACTAACAGCTAGTTGTGGGCACACCTGAACGGTTTGACCAAGTCCTGGTAATTACCTATTTTTGCAGACCCGCATATCTAAGCCCAAAAATAGGGACCAATGGCCAAGCTCCAGGGGAAATATATAAACCCCCACTCATGTGAGGGCAGGGTATCGAATATCCACTATTCATCACTAAAACCCTAATACTTTGCTTGTATCTCTTTTTGCTCCCACACTTACTTGATCGTTGGAGTGCCTTGTAGATACAACCCGCTCCCCTTTATATCTCCTCGACTTTCCAGCCCGTCCGAATATCACCATCCAGCCACCTTGTAGGTTCTGATCAACCGATGAGATCAACTCCTATTAAATTACTCTTGGATAATTTGATATTCTTCCTAGACACCAACTCAAACCCTCTTAATAAAGCCTTCATACACCACACATTTCTCCATGATGCATCCACAATTAATACAATATCGTCAATAAATTATAAAAGCTAAAAATTAATCGTAGAGCTCACCTCAAAGCCTTTCTATAAACCAAGATCAACCGCCTTCGCCATCATCGTAGCAAAACCTTCAGCTACCAAGGTAAACAAGAAAGGAGACAGAGGGTCTCCTTGTCTAAGACATTTATTCATCTTGAAATTCGTCGTTGGACTACCGTTAACAACAACTAGTAACAAACAGTGACATATGCACGCTTCAATCCACCTAATCCACCTCTCACCAAACCCAAAACACTTCAAAACATACAACAAAAATCCCCAATTAACATTGTCATACGCTTTCTCAATGTCCACTTTCAATAATAAACATTCCCACTTCCCTCTCTTTTCTAAATCCATTATCTCATTGAAAACCACAATACATTCTTGGATTTATCTACTCGACATAAAAGTCATTTGAGAACTTGATATCAACTCCCCCACCACCTTCTTTAGCCTATTCGCCAACAACTTCGCAATGATTTTGGATAGACTCTCGACCAAACTTATAGGTCTGCAATCACCCAAAACTTGAGGGTTTTCCACCTTTGGTATCAAAGCTATAAAGGAGGAAGTAACAACTTTATGGAGATTTTCTTTACTATGAAATTCAGAAACAAAAGCATAGATATCACCTGCCAAAGTATTCCAGCATCTGTGAAGGAAACTGAAATTATATCCATCTGGACCCGGACACTTGTTACCATCACACTCCCAAACAACTTCCTTAACTTCCTTCATAGTAAACACTTCTTCCAAATTCCTATTGCTTCCCTCTAATATTTTAGGAAATAAAATGACATCCATGACTAGCCTTACGAAACTGCAAGACTCCTTAAACCTTTTCTCGAAGAACGACTCCACCACACCTTTAACACCTTCAATAGATTCTACTCTCCCAACTCCAGTATCTACACCAACCAAACCTTTCCTATGAAACCTCAACTTAACTGAAGCATGAAATTTTTTTTAATTGAGATCACCTTCCATCAACAAAATAACCCGAGACTTCTGTTTTAGAATACAATCCTTCAACCGTAAGTTATTCCAAAAATATTATGTTGCCTCCACTCGCCTCTTTGACCATTTTGCAGCCTCCAAAGAATCCAATCCCGCCGCACCAACATAATCATTCACAACTTTCAAATCTTCCTCCATTCTTAAATCCACCCATCCAAAAACTTCCATATTCCACCACCTAAGCCTATCTCGAAGTAGCCTTAGCTTTTCCTTCACTACAAACGCCGCAGACCCCTGAACCACCAAGCTCTTCCACTCTTTGTCAACAAACTCCCCCAAATTCTTATGTTTCAACCATCAATTTAGGGTACGAAACAGTTTCTTGACCCAATTTAGATTGTTGCACTTCAACCAAACGAGGCTATGATTCGAGATATCCTTAACACCAATTTCTTGACTAGCAGCAAACATCATTTCTACAAAACCTTCTGACAACAAAAATTGATCTATCCTGCTCAAAGAGCCTAAACGACCTCTACACCATGAAAACTTTACACTTCCAGTAGGTAAATTGACCAGCTCAGATAATGCAATGAAATCGTTAAATTCGGTTGAATCCAACAACCTACTATAGACACCCCGACCAATTATTTTATTTATAAATCTAATAGTGTTAAAATCACCACCAAGACACCACTCTCCCACCCACTTCTGTTTGTACCTAATTATTTCTTCCCACATCTTCATCTTCAGTGAGATATCACAAGATGAATATATATTTACAAAATGACACATTTTACCTCTAAAAATTGCACAGAGACCTTAAAACCCTTCACCTTTGAAGCTGCTAATAGGAATAATTGAACCCTTTCCCCATATAATGAGTAAACCTCCAGATTTCACCGCCGAATCCTTTGCACACCACTCTACATCGTCATTATCCCACAAACTTCTGACCAAACATTCAGACATAGGCTTTAACTTTGTTTCTTGTAAAAAACATAAATTCACACGCCCTTTCCTAATGCATTCCTTAACCCTCTTTCTCTTCAGAGAGTTACCCCCATCACAAATATTATAGCTGAGAATATTCATGGTTCCACATTGATTGAATTCTCTTGCCTTTCAAGATTGCCAGTGTTATCCCTAGCCTCCATATCCCAGATTGCTTCCATGTACACCTCATAAGAATCCTTTCCCTCAATACCTAGTTGAGATGCTACATCCCACACCTTACCTTTCACGTCACCATCCTCCAAACCCAGAATACGCTTATTCCCTTGAACTATATATGAATCCCCGGTAGATTCGAAACATATCAAAGAGTCCAAAGACGAAGGGGGAGAATTTTGGATTTCATCCACACTATCTGACCCCTTGTCCATTAACTTCCTCTTTTGGGATTTACGCACTGATTTTGGGCCTTTGGGTAAAATATGGCCCAACATAACATTGGCCTTAAAATCTGGCTCAACATAATGTTGGCCTTTACGTGCACTTCCATAAACATTGCGTAACTGTGTTTTAGAGGAAATATTGAGTCGCTTGTAAGTCATAAAATATTAAATGACTCATTTTTAATAAATTCTATTTTTAACTAATATGAAACTTGGATGTTTTTTTTCCAATACTAATAATGCAACTAATAATTCATCAATAAGTGTTTCATAAACATAAAATTTAACCACATACAATTTTTAGGACATGTTTGTTGGAGGAACTGACACAACATCAGCAACATTAGAATGGACAATGTCAGAGCTATTGAGACATCCATCCATAATGAATAAAGCGCAAGAAGAAGTAAGAAGAATTGTAAGCAATAAATTCAAAGTTGAAGAAAGCGACATAAATCAAATGCACTATTTAAAATGTGTAGTGAAGGAAATTTTAAGGTTACATCCAGCTACTCCTCTAATGGCTCCTCGAGAAACAATATCAAGTGTGAATCTAAAAGGGTATGACATTCCTGAAAAAACAATGGTGTATGTAAACAATTGGGCAATACAAAGAGACCCTAAAAATTGGGAAAATCCTGAAGAGTTCATTCCAGAGAGATTTGAATATAGCCAAGTTGATTTTAGAGGTCAAGATTTTCAGTTCATTCCTTTTGGTTTTGGGAGAAGGGGATGTCCTGGAATGAATTATGGAATAACTGCTGTTGAATATATACTTGCTAACATTCTTTATTGGTTTGATTGGGAAACAAATTCGGGTAAACAAGATATAAATATGAGCGAAGTGTTTGGACTTGTTGTATCAATGAAAGAACCGCTTCACCTTAAACCAATAGCATTTTCATTTTAATCTTATTTCCAAATGTTTTTGGTCTAAGTGATTATGTATTGTTGTAATAACTTTAAATAATTTTGCTTTTTAATAAGGTTAAAGGTGTTTGGGAAATGTTTCATAAATATTCCATTTATTTGTATATCTATTAAACACTATTTTCCTTCATATTCAATATAAAAATAAAGTAATTATTCTATCATGTTAAAGGTATATAAATACCCAAGGTGTGTTATTTTGGATGATAATGATTAAGGAAGTGTTGTATTTGAAGTTAAATTTTGTAAAGATGATAAATTTTAGGTTTGTGATTATAGTTTGTGAATAATCTTTTTTAGTGTTCTTGAGAATTTCTTAAAATTTTGAAAAACCAAATATCCTTTGAATTTTAGAATTTAGTGTGTTTTTTTTAGCACTAAAATTATTAAATTTGAAAATACCATATAATTCATAACCTTTCTCCTCCTTCTATATTTTCAATTTTAAGTAGCAAAAAAAACTCCACCCCAAAATTTGAAATCTATATACTACATTGTATAAAAACAGCCTCTAGGGAGGAGTGCCAACATAAAAACAAAATTGATAGATTCATACCCTAATGATCAATCTTTGATGAGCCTAGGGAATATGAGGAGCGTTTTCAGGTAGAGGAGATATGTCTTAGTGGCCCTTAGGACATGTCAGTATTGACACTTTATAGAAACTTCATGGTGTGGTATATTTGGGATGGACAGATATGACACATCTGTTAATTTAATATTTTTATTTAATTTTAGGAGACTGCAATTTATTTATTTTAGGGGACTACAATTTATTTATTCAGATATTGAGAGATGCTCTATGTATTTGTCTCTGGAATTTGTGGATATCTCTCTTTCCAATTCTAAGATTGGGTTATGTAGAGGATTCTGGGGCAGGAAAAAAGGTTTCTTCCACTTCCTTATCAGGGTGAGAGTAAGGGAAGATCAAATATTCCCCAAATTGTAGGGGAGACAACATTTCCCTTTTTATTGATACTTGCACGCCGTTGCTACTTGAAAACCTCATGGGCCAAGTGCCTTAAAAGAAATTTACCCTGGATACTGGTTCGAGAAACTAAGCCCACTTTAGGCGCTCAAGCCCATTTTGGGTGAATAAGCCCACTTTGAGGACTCAACCCATTTTGAGCGCTCACCCAACGTTCTTGCACCTAGTTTTCTCTTTCCATGGGTTATTTAATCATGGACCATTCAATTTTAGGCCCAATAAAATTATCACAATCCACAGTACCTCAAGCATGAGGCCTTGAAAATGGAGAAGTGATTTAATTTGAGTGTACTGGCATCTTAAAGATTTCGAAAGTCCCCCAAGGAAGCTCGAGGCAAGTCCCTCATGCAAAGATTGGGTGAATCTCTCAAGCAAAGTGTGGGACGAGTCCCTCAAGTGAATATTGGGGCAATTTTCTCAAACATCACTTAAGGAAGCACATGCAACATTAAACTTTTTCATGGTGGATCTGTCTTGGGAAGCTAAGTATGTTGGTGACCCTTGGTTCCCTCACACGTGTCAAGAAGGGAGACATCTGAAAGTTCACTTGCAAGTATTGTTTACGCACATAGGGGAGACATTCATGTCATATGCGACCTAGGTTACTAATATAATTAGAGGAGAACTTTAACTCATTTTAAATCCACTATTTCACAATTTTCACTTAACAAGACAAATTATACTCAAACCTTCTCAAGCTCAACTTTGTCTTTATTCCTTGCATACAAGTATAACCTTTCCTTCCCTTATTTCACTCTCATTTTTTCCAGAAATAAAAATCATTATAGAGTTAGACGAAAGGGGAAATGTGATTGAACCTTCCAATAATAGAGGACTTACAAAATCATATGAATACCATATGAAAAATTCCATGAGAATCGACTGAACAATCAACTATAGGCTCATCAAAATAGATAAGTTTGGGAGTGATAAGAGAACTTTTGGTTCTAGTATTAATAATAAATCTCTTTTTTTCAAGTTCTTTCTCAGAAAATAGAGTTGTCTGATGACGGGCTATTATTGAGCATCATTTAGCAAGAAAAATTGACCAAATCTAACAAGAAATGAGAAAGTTAGAGTCAAAAGAGTGGAAAAAAAAGCTTGAAAAATCACTTATTGAGAAAATACGTTGATTATCCTCTAGAGTTTACGCAACCGCGCTGGAAGCTGGCGCATCCGCATTGCAGCTTTTTGCTGACACATTTTTTTAAATTCTTTATAAGGAAAATAGGAGAAGAAAAGAGGGATCAATTCAAGAGAGAGAAAAGTGAAATATTGGAGTGATTTTAGAGATCTTGGAGGCCATTAAAGCCATTGTGGAGCTTCTTCAATGACTTTTCATGTTCTTCGAATCTACACTACTGGTATTGATTAATTTCAACATGAGTAGATAGATTCCTCTTAGGTTAGGTTTTATTTGATGATGAACCTATTTTTACTTGATTGAGAAATATGATTGGATGATGTTAAAATAATTTCTTTGAATCTTTGTTATTATTCAGTTATTGATTGTGTTCATTGCATATTATTTATTACATCATTCAGTCTGATCTTCATAATAGTGACTATCGACCCTTGGGCTATTTATCTGACTCACTTTAATTGTTGAATTCACTAGTTGACTAGGGATATTATAATTAGGAATTGGGACTTAGGTATTAGAGAGATTTGTTGCCTAGTCTGATGTTACAATTGGCCTGGGGGATCGGGGAATTGATGCTTAAGTTATTAAGCTACACAACAAGGAGAAAGAGTGTAGTGGTATAGTTAAGTCGTCGTGTAAATATAGGGGATTCTGACAATAAAACTTTATCGATTTTCTCATAATTGTTCTAAAAACTTCTTTCTTTTGTTTTCGACAAAATAACTTGAAAACTCCTATGTTTTACTATTTTTAATTACATTGCACAACATACCTTATTTTAATTTAGCAAATCTTGTGGAGACAAATTTATTTTTATCACTTCAATAATTTTAATTTTAATTTTAATTTTCTTACTTTTAATCACTTCAATAGAGTGTGACTTGTTTTGTTTTCTTTTGTTTATTTTTATTTATTTTATTTTATAATTTTAATTTTAATTTTAATTTTCTTACTTTGTTTTGCATCTAGCAGTGCTACTAAGGTATTGTTTTTTATGTTTATCCAAGTTCAGATTCGACGCTTTTACCATTGGGTTTAGAGATCGAGAGAACTGCACGAGCACTCCATAAATAAAAGATCGATGCACTGTTAGTTAAACAATAGTAGAAAGAGGAAATATGAAATGGAAAATCCATAATTTTTGACTTTTGGGGATTATTATAGGCGTACCGATGCTCATCAAATTTCACGAGGATTCCAATTGGCACACCCAATGACTTTTGATATCAAGAATTATGTTATGCAGGGCCTTAGATATAATCCGTTCGATAGTTAGGCCATTCGTGATCCTGGGGAACACCTTGTCAAGTTTTACGAGACTTGTTCTATGTGTAAACAATCAGGGAAGGATATAATTTACAACCAAGTTAAAATATGCTTGTTTTGATTATGATTGACTGGTAGAGAAAAAGACGGGTTGTAGTGTATTCCTAATGGAACATTACCAACATGGAGAAAGTTAGAAGATAATTTCCTGGAAAGATGCTATTTGAATGCATGGTTTTTCTAAAGAAAAGATGCAATTACAAAATTTAGTCAGGAAGATAGTGAGTCTCTATCAGATGCGTGGTAAAGGTTTAAGATGTTACTCCGAAAGTGCCTGAATCACAACATGAGTTCAATGGATCAATTATCGCACTTTATGATAGGATTGACAATCACTACTTGAATGCACATTGATGCCTCCGCTGAAGGTACATTGAGAGAAAATACAGATGATGAAGTTAAGACACTAATTGAAAATATGCATCGAAATGAGTACCGCTCAAGTGAACAAGATGTAAAAAGGAAATGTGTGTTAGCGGTTGACACACAAATTGTATTGCTATCCTAAATGGAATCTCTCACCAAATAGTTGGCTTCCTTTGAGTTGATTCAAGCTAATGGAACCATATCCAAAATCTGAAGTATGATTTCTATGGAGATAAGCATTCAAATGGTAATTGTGTTCTGAACGTAGAAAGTGCGGAAGTTCAATATGAAAAGTTCTAAAGAAATAATCCATACTCTAATACATATAACCCAAGTTAGAAATACCACCCCAATTTTGAGTGGAGAAACAATAATAAAACCTTGAATCCTACTCCAAGTATACCTCAAGAATATCAAGCACCTCAAAAGAAACCATCGGTGTTAGAGGAAATTCTAAAAGAGTTCATACTTTCAACCCAATAGATTTTTTTGAAGGTAAGTCAAACGCAACAAGATATGATTCAAAGTGAACCGACAGAAAATAAGAACACAAAAGCCTCCAAAAAAATTTATAGGCACAAATTTGGTAGTTGTCTAAGAAAATAGCAGCTCAAGCTAATGATGGATGGGGATTCAATGGTAACATTGTGGATACCCTTAAGAATGGAAATTATAGTGCTACTGAGTTGAGGAGAAGAGTGTTAGATACACCCACAAAAGCTATTAATGCTAAGAAAGAAAATGAAAAGAATGTGATGTTGAAATTAAGGAAAGTGAGGGAGAAAAAGTGAGAATGAGAGTAATGATGAGGTTAATGTTGAACTCTTAACAATTTTATAGATAAGAAGTCACGTTGGAGGAGCACCAAGAAACATATTATTAATGATCTAAATCATAAACTTCATGACTACATCAAAGCACCCTACCCTTTCTTGAAAGAGGAGCTTAAGAAAAATGATGAAAAATAAGAGTAATTTAAAAACTTCAAGGAGATGTTGCAAAAATTTCAAGTCAACATCTGCTTTTGTGAAGCCATGGACCAAATTCCTATGTGTGCTAAGTTTATGAAGGAACTACTTTCTAGAAAAAAAAGGTTGAGGAATGATGAAAATGTTGTGTTGGTTGAAGAGTATAGTGCTATCATTATACGAAACAT